TTTATGAACTGTGAAATCAATTCTACCAAATACCATATCTTGTGCTAGATTTTTGCAGACACTACTTGCTTTCCTGTCCTGGGGTCAGCACTGGTTGAGGCTGCTTTGTAAATCCTTTATGGTCAGTTGATGGTGCTAACTAATAGTTTCAATGGGTTCTCAGGACATTTTAGGAAAATTAAGTCTAGTATAGCTCCTTAGTTTATGACGCAGTATACAGATTGCAGAGAAAATAAGGAAACCATGTCACAACAGTTCCTTCAAAAGAGGTGAACAGTAACAAAGCACACCCTAGAAAGACTCTTACTCCAATAACCAGCTCCCACGGAAATTCCCTCCTGCATTGTGGTGACAGATAATGTAAAGGGTACTCTCTGGCAGGAGTCACATGGCAAATGTCCTTTCACCTAAGAAGAAACCTTTATTTCCCTAGAGAAGTACCTCTTACAACATCTTGTACATGTTAGCAACCTTACAACTTGCCAGAGTCACAGTATCATTTGTGCCCCAAATATTAGGCCTGGGTGCATGACTACTGCATTATGCGCTTATGTGGTCTGAACATCACCACAAGACGTGGCTCCACAGAGTTCCTCCTGTCCTCCTCCTCAGCCACATTTATGCTTTCCAGCTTCTGATTCCCTTTTCCCTTGTGGAAAGACTGCCTCCTTCTTCTTCTCATATGGAGCCATCAGTACAATGCGTCAAGTCCTTGCTCTCATGTGCTATAGAACCTGTTAACCAATTGATAATATTTTCTTGTTTATTGGAAAACATCCAGACCCTTCTCCCTGGAGGCAAAGACCCAACCTTTAAAATACTCATCATATTCTGTCTTCTACTTCTACTCAAAGACAAATAGGTGGAACCCCCTGTGTGCTGCTACAGTTTCTCCGGAAACTCAAGACCCACCACCTCCTATTGATTCAAGTTAGGTGGCCTGGTCTAAAAAGGTGGTGGTTCACTGAGTGCACCAGCTATCAGTGCTGCTGGCATGACTCCCGTGCCTCCATCCACTAAGTGAGAAGAGCAATTTGCTCCACCTGTCTTTCACTCTATTAATGGAGCAATGCAATGTAATGCAATGCAAAGCTCTTTCAGAGCTTAAATGTTCTTTAAATTATAAGGACTTCCAATATTGTGTTGTCACTTTAGAACTCCTCTTGGAGTAATAATCCCTTGTAGCAATATGTTCTCCACTGTGGAAATATTTTTAGCCAGTGGCATTCATGTTTAAAGTGTCCTTGCTTTTTGCATTTCCAGCACTGGGGACCTGAACATCTCTCAGGTTCAGCAGTGCAGATTTTCACACTCTCAGTGGGCTTTACCTCTTAGACCCTTTCTGACTCTACACAATGTAAAAGTTGTTTTCCCCGTCTGCTAGACTCACTTCAATATTCTCTACCCTCTGCAACACCCCTTCCAGACTGTCTGGCTTGTGTCGATTCAGTCTCAAGACTACAAGGGTCAGCTCCTTCTTTGACTGGCAATATTGGTGGCACATACAGTATGCCCATTCTTTCTGTCTGTTCTGTTCATTTGTTTTTGCCACCATTCTCTGACAGTGGACAGGTGGTTCTGCATCACCAATCTGGAAAACAATGTAAATACTAATTGCCTTCAATATTGTACTGTACAGCACTCTGGAGGACATACATGTATGTCGTCTGCACCATTCTGCTTCTGGCATTGTCTCCTTTGGTACAGAAACTCCAACCTCCAGCCCCGGTGTTACAGTGCCTTCACTCCTTTTCAGGGCAATAAGTGCGATTCTGTCTCCTTTTCTTTCTGTACTACAGCCCAGGGCCCCTGCCTGGCTGCTTGTTGCCACATATTGCCTATATCTGATGCCAGTGTCACCAAACTCATTTTAGTGAGTTTTCAGTATATTGTAGGTTAACAATAAGGTTGGTGGGGACTTCCCAGCTAGGGACAAAATGTATAAATCAGAGAAGACACATTAAACTTATTGCTCAAGATGTGTTTAAACAGATCTGTATAGTGACAAAGCTCACTGTAAATAAACTCATCTTAGGAGTGAGAAGTTCTTTCTAGAGGGAACCAGATGCCAGAAATCCCACCACCTAAGAAAAGGCCTTTATTATTATAAAGAAGAACTTACACCATCCTGTTTACACTGACATCCGTACAATCGGCCAAGCAACAACATACCTGGGCCTGCAATATAGTGCAGGAGAAGCTAGGGAAAATAAATAATAATGCACATTTAAATAAATTTACAGTCTTACAGGACATTCAATATACAGTATGTGGTAAATGAGAATTGTAATTCACAACCTTAAATTCACAGATTTTCAAAAAAGGGGAGACTAAACTGGAAGTTAAGAAGGTAGTGATGGCTACTAAGCAAATACATTTCCAATACCCTGTTCTGTGTTTATCAGAAAAAAAGTATTATTTCCAATAACATACAGTATGAATATCATATTCCCCAAAAGAGTAGTTACCCTTCTCAGTTTTCATTTAAAAACTGACCTTTTATATTGTATTTCTTATTGATGTAATACTGTACTTTCTGTATGTATACAGTGTATTGGAATTATACTGTATACACGACCAGCACATAATGCTAAGACTTCTCAATGCAATTTTGTAAAGTAGTTTGTTAACCCCTTAGATTGGTCCGTATTCTCACAAACTTTAGAACTTAAAATGTAATCAGAGATTCATGAGTCTTTATAAAATATAACATGATTAAGACACACTTTAAGATAAAGATTTGAGATATATTTGGATTATTTTGTTAACAAAAGAAGACAGCAGTAAATATAGGTAGAGAGATCTTGGTGCTGAATATTTTCCATCATGGATTTTCTTGGATAAAGATAGACAGACATAGATATTTAGAAATTATTTTATAAAATCTTACTAAACTGATGATCATGAATTTCTGAGGTCCTCTAAAGAGTCTTTGAATCATAGCATGACATGTTCAGATCAACCTACTGTATATGGTGAAAACCCACAGTTTTTGACCACTGTATAGAACGGGGCTGCCGAAACTGAGTCCTTGTTTACTTGTTACCCAATTATTTAACCACCTGATTTTAATTACCCCTCTCAATTGTGCTATGTAAACTAGAATTTAACTTACTATTTCATATAAACTGATTCATAATGATTATTTTTTATACTTCATATACCATTGCATCAAAATAAAATAATAAATATAAACCTTTTGGATATTCAAGAAAAGTTTCAGCTAAACAAGGATAAGCAAATGCAATTCACATTATGATATAGGTGGTTCACAAACTTATTCTTGGCACTGTATACAGATTTGTGTCAGTTCTAGTTCATTCTGAACACTGTAAGAATTTCAAAATTTTCACATAATGGATTAAAGAAGTAGCTTTCTTGTGATGTAAGTGGAGCTTTCCAAGATTTAAGGAGCACCTGTTGCGCTGCTTTGAAAATACCAATATCCATTAAGTTTATATCAGAATTCTGAATATTTCATATAGGAAGTAATATGTAGGATAAGACAAATGTACTGTAATAAACATAAAGTTATTAATTACAAAAAGTGAGGGGCAAGTCAAAAGCATTAACACAAGGCTGCTTAAAGTCCTAGTACTGCACGAGTACATAGGGATGTCTCCTGTTCACCATAACACTACTAAGCTCTAAGACGTCAAGAAAAAGCAGACTCAGAAAACTTGTTTTTGTAAAATATGAAATATAATACAGAAGGCCTTTAACAGTTTTGATTTCAGAGATTATGACATTTTTAAATTGTATTGCAATTGGTCTTTGGGTTGTCAGCCATTTGCAACATTGTAATTTCCATATTTAACCAGTTCTGCCTCCAGGCTACATGCATATACAGTACGTTGTGTTCGTGTTTGTATTGTTATTTTGTACTGTGTGTCCTTTGGGTATGCGTTTGTCTTGTTATCTTGTGCTGTGTGTCTCCAGGGACTACCAGGCCTCAATACATTGGCGGCTTTGCACAGTAATCAGATCCTGACAGTCAAGGTTTGTGGGCATCACCAGGTTGCTCTGTCAGAACTCAACCCAGCACAGTTTGGAACAGCATTATTTGTGCTTTGATTTCCCAGCTAATCCTGGACCATTTTGTGGCTGTTCTAAATGTGTGACGTTGGACACAAGATCTGATTCGATTATTTTATAAATATTCTGTATTATCTTTCCATACAAAATGCCAATGCAAGTTAAAAACAGTAATAAAAATCAGGGATACAAATGTATAGACAGCCATTATGTAATAGGTAAAAAAATTAAAAATTAAAAAACAGTTGGTTTGAAATGATAAAGGGTGGCAGACAATTATTTTAGAGGATGTCACATCTTTATCTGAGATAATCTTTTACTTATGTTTTGTTTCCCCAAAATTTGTCAGATTGGAACAGGTGTTTGATTGCCAGGTGGACCATAATATATTCACATATTATTTTGGTGCCACTTAGCTTTGGGAATATCAAAGTAACAATATTCTCCAAAACTAATTTTTGAACATAAACTAGGTTTTGGTTCAATTTGTTTTTGCCTTTTTTCTATATTTGTTGCAGACAATGCTGGATCCTGGGTCTGACTAAGCACTACTCAGTGATTTTGAATAACAGTGCTTTTGTTGCAGAGAAAACATGTTTCATTTTGTTTGTGAATCCTACTGTTTCAACAAATATTCCCATTATAATTGTCTGAACTATTAAAATAATATGACTCCTTCTTGAATATCCTCACTTGTTCAGGGTATGTAGAATTATTTTATATTACTTCATAAATGTATTATAAAACAAAATAAAAGGTTTTTTTTTTCTCAATCGAGCAAAAGATTAGGTTCAGACGCTAAGACTGAAACACAGGTTTCTCAAAGCAACAAAAGCACTGATCACTATAACTGTCACATTTCTAATCTGTTTTACCTTTATTTCTTCTTTTGGGATCTTCGGGTGTCTCTTCTCCAACCTCTCTCACCTCTGACCTCCAACCTCTGACCTCACACACCTGATCAGATGGTCTTCCCTAAGATCAGTCATGGCTTTCTTTCCGCTGATCAGCAGCTCATTAATCGCCGAGTCATTAAGGTAGTGCTAAGCCTTACAGGACTCTGTGTTTCTCTGCAATGCATTCAACAGTGTTGTTATTCTCTTTCTTAATAAAATCTCACCTTGCTTTCCCTATTCATTCATGATACTTGAACTGTAAGCTTAAAAACTGTTTAATATTTATTTTCCAATTTCCTAAAATCAACCAATTGGAGTCATGTGACTTTTCTTCAGTCCTCACTTAGCACTTGGTATTGAAGAGCCTTACAATTCTTCATTGCAAGCGTATGGGGAACAGGCTTTATAATTGCTTTCACATCTTGTACTTTCAGCTAAGGTTCCTGTATCTGTTTTATCGTAAATAAATCAGTTATTGCTTTTTAAAAAAAAACTGGTATTTCTTACTTTTAGGAAGCCTGAAAATCAGGTGAAAAATCCCTTAGCAACATATCATACTTTGTTTTTTTAATTGCATATAAGGATTAAATATACTGTAGAAGAACCATATGATCTTGTATTTATCTTTACAAACATAGATTGGATGTAGAATATTTCTGTAAACACTTTTCAGACTATATTTGTTTACATAATTGTATATTGATTAGATTGATTAAAGATAAAGTTAATTTTTTCCAAGTTTTTCCAGTTCAAATGCATACATTTGTGAAAGTTGCATTTCTTTTTATAACTCAAGGCATAACTGAAAACAATACATTTAAAAGCCATTAAATATAATAGACATTTGCTAAACTTTGTTTACCAATTGCATTTGCTCAATTGTTCACCAATAATTCATTCAGTTTAAAACAATCAGGGAGTGGGCATTGCGACTCCTAGAAAGAATTGCAGTGTCCTCCTTGAACTTTGTAAATCATCTCACACCCCCTCTCTCTATAATCTCAGTACTGTAATTTCCATTGTGGTTGTTGCAGTCAGGAGAGTATGTGCCCTTGCTCTTTATTTGCTTTGTTTTTGTATTTGATTTTCTTGAATGTATGGAACACTGCTTGAGGAGGAGAAGTCATTTTTTATTTTTATTATTTGAATTCTGCAGGGAGATCAGGGTCAGACAGGCCCTCCAGGGCCCCCTGGGCCCCCAGGGCCCCCTGGTCCAAGAGGGCCCCCAGGAGACACAGGAAAGGATGGTCCAAGAGGGTTACCAGGGCTACAGGTAAGAAGCACTATAGGGGACAGCCACTTTCCCAATAAAAAAAAACATGAAAAATGTTATGGAAGAGTTTTTGATAAGCACATAATGTCATCTATATACCGTAGTGGCTACAAAAATGCTGAATTCATTCTTCAGGAAGAACCTTCTGATAAATTCTGGCAAAATAGAACAGAGAACAAAATAAAAACTTACAATAAATGGCCTTCTTATGGCTTCTTGAGGCATTATAACTGTTATCAGATCGACGCATTAGTGTTGGATCTTACTTAAAAGTAAAAGCAGTAACGGTAATTGTATTAATGTTTTTTGTATTGATTTATTATTTCTTTTCAAAATTTTTCATTTTCATATTGATTATATGAAATTAAATAGCAGGGTACTTTTTTTCAAAATATTACTATTATAAGAAAACTGGTCTCAATAGATGCAGTATTATAGAAAAAATAAAATTAAACTGAAAATAATATGATATTTGTGTTGTTACATTTTTTATGTTTAAAAAGGTGATTTGCACAAAAATATCTGTTTATAATGTTAGTTGACGAGACTAACTATCGATGTAATCATTATTATCATGAGAACCATTTAAACATTGTCAACAGTGTAAAAATACAACCATTTTAACATTTGGCCATTCAGGATGTAGAGGTTTTTCTACTTCATCTCACCTACATCTGACCACCAAAATATAGGGTGACTTCTATACAGCTGTAAGAACAAAAGGAAATTGATTTCTGAAAACACAAAACCATATTTAGGAAGAATAAATCTAGAATCAAAATCAGAAATAATTGTTCAACATTTTACATCTCTGGTTTGCTTTTGGGCTAGAGACAGATCTTTTTCCTATTTCTCATAAAATCACATTTAAACAAGAATTTAAGAAGCATAAAAATGCTGTGAATATTGGAATACTACTGGTATTCCATGCATATTTCTCAGCCACAGCACTAAACATTTTGGAAAACCACAACTCTGGAATCCCCGGGTGACAGGTATTTTAATAGTCTGGAATTTGTTTGTAATATGGAATGTGACATGATATGCTCTGCTTTAAAACTTGGCAACTATTCTTTATAGTTTTTATGTTAAATTAGATGTTAGTTTCATTCTACCTACTTTATGATTTATAATTACATTTTCATTACAGGGAGATACAGGAAAACCAGGAGAGCAGGGGCCAGTGGTAAGCTATTTTTTTTTGTTCTGCTAACAGGATTACCATTCTCATTCTAAACTCATTCTAAAAGTCTTTCTTTTGTGAAAAGGGCTGATCTACAAAGTTTGCTATTAAAATGGTTATTGATTCAGCCCATTGCTGAATTTGATTAGTCCCATGATGTGTACTGTTATTTGAGATGAATTGGCTTTTACATGGTTTAATATTTCCTGTACGTCTTATATTAACTGCAGAAAATGAATCAGCTGGGGTTTTTCCAGGCTACAGCTTAAAACAAAAAGAATCACATGATATAATGAACCATAAAAGTAGTGATTAATCCTATGTCTGTTCTGGAACAAATGCAATAATTTAATGTCGTTTTATGTGAAGTTATAATATGTATTTTTTTATTTTACTTTTGCTTGTAAATATCTTGGTATAAGTCTTACAGTTGAATATATGATGAGATTCCCACAGAATCAACTCTGAAGTTCCATGACTTAAAAACAGTTGTAAAAGAAAAGCTTCTCTTGACAAATATATACAAATACTAGATTTAAATTTCAGTCTGTTGTATTTTTCTTAGTTTCCCTCCTAGTTGGTCAAATAGTTTTGTTTGGCAAGTCTGCAAACCTCTTCTACACCTGGAACTACATAAATCCAGACTGTCTAATGCTCATTTTATTGATGGTGTTGTGCAATTCATTAGACTTGGTTATACAGAAGGAAAGGAAGACTTTTAAACCAAGGTTCCTGGTATAATTGAACTGTATACCTCCAGAATCAATCATTGTGCAGAGTACTTCCATTAGCTCCGTCTAAAAGCTGCCCTTTTCTTAACGGATACTTAGATTTATTGATGTAAATGGAATGCCCTGGTCAGGGAATCTGATAGATTTCTTTAGATTATACATATTTATACACACTAGTCAATTGCTCATTATCACAATACTCTCTTTAATTGGTAACATGTGTAAATTTATCATTTTAGCTATTAATCATGCAACGTATCTATTCAAACACTGTTAAAATATTTCTACACATGAGACTGATTGCCAGTACAAACTGTTTCAATTAGCAGCAATTGGATACTGCCTTTGTGATGTTGTAAGTCAGACTTTCAAGAAATGTACCCGCATTCAAAAGCAAAAGATAATTAATCATTGACTATGTTTTCAATTGACAAAATGTGAGAACAAAAATGAAGAAGAACTGTCTTGAAAAACATGGCAAACTTGTAGTTGTTTCCTGTGATGATATTATCGTTGTCTTGTTGAAAAAGCAACTTATCTAGTTTGGCTTGCAGGAACAAGAAAAACAGCTGGTTCAAGGATATTGTCAGTAAGCAATAAACGTTGCTTTTAATCTGCACCAAAATCATTCTGGTTTCAAAGGAGATTCCTACCACCATCGTCTCAGTTCCCCTGCCTTGCTGGTTGACTTAAGCAACACAGTGGTCTAAAATTCATGACAACATCTCCATGAACATTGTTTTCCATGAGGTCTGAAAAGAGCAAACCAAGAGTGAATGGTAAATGATTTGTTCAGCACCAATCCCTGCCTCAATGTGATACACAGTATTGTGTGGACCAGAGAGGACATTGATTTCATTTTACCCATGAATGGCCTCCAAGCCAGTAGACACAGACCTACAGTTAGTCTGCTAATGAGCAGTTTTGCTTCCTTTCTCATACTTTAGCCACTGTAGACTAAAAATGATTAGGCTTCCTGAATATGGCTTGTAATTCAAAGAGCTAGTTTACTAGTTTCACTGGACTAGACCGCTGATTTGCTGAAGCTTCTTTCAATCAAGCCAACAGGCTGCTTTCAATCATGTTGATAACAATCAAGTGATCTTCAACACCCAAGTAGTTGTACCTTCCAGTTTTATTGAGTTAGTAAATTGTCTTTTTCAACGGCTTTTATACAGATTCTTAATCATCTCCTTATGGCAATTTTAACTCATTCCAAATACAAAGCACTGAGTAGCACTGCAATTGTTTATGAATCATAATGGTGAAGCTTAGTAGTTTGTTATCCCAAAGAAAAATATTAATCTATCAATAAACATATTTGTTATTGATAATAATTTTTACTTTGTGGGACAGAACAGTGGCACAGTGGTTAGCATTGCTGCCTCACAGTACTACTGTACTCCGTACTGTACTGTAATCAGTATACCTCAGTATAGAATGAGTCACAATGTAGCATTTTGTGTTTTTAGGAAAAATAGAACATATGGACTTGAACATTAACTTTCACATGTGAATCAAAACTGCTGGGCAAATGGAAATTTGAATTTGGGGAAAAGAAATTGAATGACATTGTAATTGTAATTACCAAGTAAATAAAAATTAGCACCATGTAGTTGTAGGTTGCAGGTTCAATAAACCATGTCAGCCTTGATCTTCTCATGTCATTTACTGTAGATTACAAAAATATTTTAAGCTACTTGTTTGTAATCCTTGGTTAAAAGCAAAATTTCTTGAAGTTACCTAGATTTGAGTGACTTAGATTTAAGAGATATTTTTCTAAGCAATGAAGAAATCAAACTGATTCTTTAAAAACAGCAGTGAAGTTAAGAAAAGAAATAGTCATTAGCTCCTATCATTTTGTTATGAACTGGTTAAATATTATATTCCTTCTCTTTTCCTGTACAACTTCATGATGTCCCTGAATCTCTTCATTTCCTCGAAAAAGGTGCAATAGAATAGTTATATCAATGTTTTACATTTATATTCACCAAGGATGTTTTTGTAACTATTAGTTTGTGTCACATGAGGTACTGTAACTCTTTGAACTTTTTAGTATATAAGAACATGTGAGACTGCTATGCACTCATTATTATTTGCAAATGTTCTGAAAAATTAATGACAATGAAGTAAAAGACTCAGGTTACACACTGGAAATGTTTGGCAAAGCATTTCTTACTTTTACTCTTTTTGAAAATGAAGAGATAAGATATAATATATAAGTTTTGTTCCAGAGCAAAAATATAAGAGTAATTTTGTATGATAGAAATATCTGCCAGACAGTTTGAAGGCATTATCAATTTTTAAGAATCTGTTAACAAATACCAGAACCTTTAAAAAAAATTCACAGATATCTCTTATTAATATAAGGGAGATAACACCATAATATTCATTATTCCTTTCCTGACACATATAAGAGTGGTGTAAACTATTAAAAATATATTCAACCAATATCTGATATTAAACCAATAAATATTAACATACAAGTATTACATTTAGGTTTTAACTAAACTTGTTAGCATGAACCTCAATACAAACCAATAAATAGGAAATATTACAACTCTTTTTTACTTCTTGATTGTAATGTATGTACAAGAGTTGAATAAAAATGAAGTAAAAACAATTTGATTTGCCTCAGTGACCTGGAAGATTCATGCAACTTCTATATGATCTTTGTTCTAGGCGGGTAGAATTCATATTAAAAAATGATTTGGTATTTAATATGAAAAATATACTAATTTAAGGCAAGTGAGATTTGTGAAATTTAGATATTAGATAATGGACTTTTTTTTTTTAAATGTTCTAAATATTTTTTTAAAAACTGAATGACAATTTTCAGAACTACTTCTCACTGTATAAATTGTATGTGAAGTGTACTGTATATGGATAGTTTCAGGCTTTTGCCAAACTTTCCCAATGCCTAATATTTCAAAATACCGGATTTCTTAAAAACAGGTTAGACACTGCAGATTGTCAAATTGCCTCATTTCTCCTTAGACAGTTGACAGCTGTTTCATCTTAGCACTTAATTCTCCAGAATAGCATGGCTCTAAAGACAATAATTTGAAACCTTTAAGAAAGAGAAAGCCTCAAGCCTGACAGTAAGTGCAAAGTGTGGAGATACAAAGATCTCTTTAAAGTAACAATTGTTTGCCCTGGTGAATTATATTGCTGGAGAGGAAAAGACAGACACATACATTTTCTCAGCCAATTTCCAGAAACTTGTGCCACTTAGCATAACTTTTTGATGTAGACGCTATTGTTAAAAAAGAGACAACAAATTCCCTAGCAAGCAGACATGTGTTACTATTTAAAATAATGTACTTGCTTTACTGCTGAGCAAGGGAAGGAAAAGGCATTTGTAAAAATATGACATTATCAGTGCCATGAACATTTCCTGGGATAAATTAGTCCTCTGCTCTCCATAGAAGGTTAGCAGCCTTAAGTAGATAGAAACCATGTCAACTGTTGTAATGGGGAAGTGAAGTGCTTGTACAGTATGTTATGAGGCTTAAATATTGTAAATTAGTTTAATTCCCACTGATTTACCAATTACCATAATATAGATATTAACACTAAAACTATTTTATGCAGTTTTTGAGCTATTAAATAAAAGACAAGTAATACTAAACCTTAGCTTTTTCTCCTTAAGATACTAAAAGGAGTCTTAGGCATCCTCCCATTTCCATAAGCCACTGTTATATAATAAATGCCTCTCCATTATAATTTCCCTGTTTAATATCTACAGGTAGTTACATACAATCTGCCAGCACATAATGTTTGTATAAGACTGTCTTAGAAGCCTTTGTTAATAGAACAGATTCATGTTTGCAGGACAAAATAATGTGCACAATCAATAAACAATTCATGTTGAGGTCCTTAAATTAAACAAGGAAGATGTTTGACATGCATCTTTCACTTTAATGATTCAAAGCAATTTCATAGAAAATTGAAAATAGAAGATGTGTTGCAAATAATGATTATACTGTAGTAATAACAAAATATCCTTACATGCATGTGACAATGAAATGCAACAAAAGCATTATCTTCAAATGAATGAAGTGTCACTGTAATGTTATATTTGCAAAATATCCAATTTTTGTAAATACTTTTTTCTAGCTAAACTAGTTCAGATTTAATCACATTTCCCATAATGCTCATGAAGTGAAATAACATGAAGTGATGTGACTTTCTGGTGCCTGGAAGGTGTTCTGGGTCAGTGGATAATTTGCTTGTTATGGACATATGGCTTTGAAACTCGGATGTGCCCTG